TTTATCTTCCGTCGGGTTGGGTGGAATTTTTTAGGATGGGTCCAGACTCCAGACCATGTGTGATTGTGAACTGAGCGACGACCGCTCGGACTAACTTTTAAAGTTTCTATATACGCGGACAGTTATGAGGATTGAGGAGGACATGATTGTAGATCAAAGTGGTTAATCACGAGAATTAGGAAAAGAAATACCGCACGATCGTTTCTGAAACTAGGAAAGGTAGCCCGCGCATTCGCGCGGGCATGTGTATTAGTTTTTTTTAAACAGATATAACAAATTGTGAAAGTAAGATATACTATTTTTTAATTCATTGTGCATTATATCTTTTTTTTCTTAAGAAACTTCAAGAAATTTATATCGCCGATGAATGTTTTATTTTTACCATCAAGTGCTTAATTTAATTGGTTCACATGCACGCAATTTGCTATATGCTTGCATATGAATTAATAAATTTGTTGTATGCATGTATTGAAGAAATATGCAAATAGTGGACATGGTTTTTCTGAAATATGTGGGACCCTTATGGTATTTTTTTAAAGAAAAATATAGGCAATATGAGTCTTAAAATATAAATTTAATAGGAAGAAATAACTTTTATCATGATATGGAATACCACATATTTTGAGCTGCTTGTATATACAAGATGTGGAGAAACCCATGAAGCTACCACAAAGACATGAATGAAATGACTTTATGGATTTGTTATTGACCTTCGTCTCTTGATATGTATCAAACCAAAACATAACTTTATACTTTACTTGTATATATAAAGAGAAACATAGAAATGAAAAAAAAAGAGAAAAATATAAGTAGGACTTCAAAAAAAAAATTTTATAGTTAAACTGATTCAATATTAGCTTGTGGCCGGTTAAAACTCTATTAAATAGATCTCTAGGAGCAAAACCATTACAAAATCTATTTCCATAAAGTGGCCAATGAGGGTGAGGCAACCCCGGGTTCATTATAAACTATCTTGTTATTATTTTTCATATATATATAGATGTTAGCTTAGGGGAGAGACGGGGTCAGAGGGGTCACTCCTAATCTCCTGTTTATGTACGAGAGAAAATACATATGTACAATTTATCCATAAAAATAAAGATATACATAAGTATGATAAAAAAGATAAATACAAAAAATTTACATCTGTATGACCGTATGATTGAAAGAAACAATCACAGCCAAGATTAATTATAAAACAACCAGACCGGCCGACCAGCCAAGATTAATTCCAACGACCATGCACCATCTGCTCACGGCTCAAGCACGTATATGCACCATGGGGAGGGAGTTTTTCTGGTTTTTCTTTTTTTTTTTAGCTGAGAAGGGGGAGGTAGTTGGTACATAAGTGGGTACCTTTTATTTTCCTTCCGAATCGTATATACGTTGGAATATATTGGAAGGAGGGCATGGCTACGTACATGATTTGTTTTCTTGAGATAAGAACTGATATTTAAATTAATAATTTAATGGTTAAAATATTGTGTCTACCTATTTCAATGAAAATAGATGGTCCATTTTTTTCTCATAATGCCACGTGGTGGCCTAGTAGCATTTGTAAAACGGAAATGCTATATACCGGTATACTGTCGGGAAGGGTATCGACGGGATACCCTTCGTCCACCTTTCCCATCCAAATAGGAACGACGCTGAGCGCCTAAGCTGTGAGGAGGAGGTGGCCGTCGGTGACTCCGGCGCAGGGAAGAAGTCCCGCTTGGGGAGAGAAGGACGCGGCCACCGGAGACGCGGCCGCCGGTGACGTGGTCGCCGGATTTGCCGCCTGGTGCTCCATCCGCGTGGCCGGCTGGTGCGCCCTCCGCCAGCGCCCCAACTCCGTCACCGGTGACGTGGCTGTCGATGATGTGGTCGCCGGATTGCCGCCGAGAGCTCCAGCACCGCTGCCTGCCATCCACGGCGCCGCCGTTAACGCCCACCCTCGGCTCCATCTGCGTGGCCGGCCGGTGCGCCCTCCACCGGCGCCCCAACTCCGTCGCGGGCCCTCTCCGGTCGGCTCCTTCGTCGCCGGCCGTCGATCCCGCTGCGAGTCCGGGCCTTCATCCTATCCATCTGCTACTTTGGGGGAGCAAAGAGACAAGATGGTGTGCAAAGAACTTGTTAACTTGGTCATGGCTGGCTGTGGAGTGTGGTAGAATCATCTTCTACGTGGTAAGAGTCGTATGATACATGATAGGTATCATATTCTACGTGGTAAGAATCGCATGATACCTGATAAGTATCATCTTCTATGTTGTAAGAATCGCATGATACTTGATAGGTATTATCTGATTCCTCTCAAGTATCACCTGATATATAGTAGAATCACATGATACCTGGTAGGTATCACCTGATACCGGTTAGATATCAGGACCTGAAACATCACAAGCATCACCCACCACGTGGTAAGAATCGCATGATACCTGATAGGTATCATTTGATACCTCGCAAGTATCATCTGATATGTGGTAGAAACGCAAGTATCACACGATCCTACTAAAGTATCATCTTTAAAACCCATAGGATCTTGTTACTAGACATGATACCTAAGTAGGGTCATGTGGTACTGCATAGGTACCACACATAATGATACTTTGATGAGTATCATGTGATCCTTCTAAGATATCATTTGTGAAACCTGATGATACCAGACAAGATACAGATAAGGATCATGATACCTCTCAGGTATCACATGATCCTCCCAAAGTATCACCTATGAAACCTGGTGAAACTGGACATGATACTAAGGAGGATCATGCTACCTCCCAGATTTATGATCCTACTCGAGTATCACTTGATACCTCGCAACTACGCAACTATCATCTTCTATGTGGTAAGAATCGTATGATACCTTACAGGTATCACCTGATAAGTAGCTAGTATCGGGTGATACCTATCAGGTATCATGCGATTCTACCATGTATCAGGTATCAGACGATTCCTATCACGTATCAGGTGATACTCGTGAGGTATCATGTGATACCTATCAGGTATCGTGCGATTTCTACGACGTATCGGGGTGATACTTGTGAGGTATCATATTCATATGATACCTACTAGATACCAGGAGCTAGGCGTCGAGGTGTCGAGGCATCGTCGCCGGCGGCCGCGTCCTCCCCCGTCCACGCTCCACACTGAACCCGAACCTCGTCGCCGGCAGCCGCATCCTCCCCCGTCCATGGTCCACATCGGAACTCATCGCCGACGACCGCGTCCTCCGTCGGGAGCTCGTCACCGGCAGTCACGTCCGTCGTCCACGCCTCAGCTGGCAGCTGCGTCCTCCACGCTGGAGCTCGTCTCCGGCGCCGCCGCCATCACCACGCAGGATCCTCCGCCGTCCACGCCCCACGCCGGAGCTCGTCGCCGGCGTCGTCTCTGTCACCACGCAGATCCTCCGCCGTCCATGCGACCATGCCCCACGCCGGAGCTCGCCGGCGGCCGCGTCCTCCATGCCGGAGCTCGTCGCCGGCGGCCGCGTCCTCCACGCCGGAGGTCGTCGGCGCCGGCCGCGGCCGCGCCACCGGCGTTAGCCGCATCTGTGCTGCTCCCACGGTGGCCTACACTCTCGCGTCTGAGGGAAGTGGACAGGGAGCGATCCCGTTGGGATACTATCCCAACGCGATACCGGTATATAAAGTGTCATGCATGTGTCGACTTAGAAGTATTTGTAGGAAGTTTAATGGGCTTTTACTATATAATAGATTTATTTTTAATTTATCAGATGTGCCATGTGGTAGGTTAGTAGCACTGTAGAGGATGTTTAATGGAGCTTATTATAGATTGATCTACATGATGTTTAATGGATCTTTATTACACAATGGGTATTTGTCTATTTGATCGATTAAATCTTTAGATTTTGAAACTTCACCTTAAATATGTAGCTTTGTGAAATTTACTTTTTATTGTGTATATAATGATTTGCTTGCTACTCCTACAAAATAGCGAGGAGAAAGTGAGCAAGCAGAGAGATAAGAGATCACATATATGTTATTATATTTTAATAATATTTAATTGCTCATTATTTGCCATGTAAAAGATAGGAGTTTTTTTTTCAAATTATATATTCTTATATATCCAAACATGCCCAATATAGATAAATAAAATATATTATAAAAATTACAATCATTAGTTATCTAACGTTTGATTTTGTTTACATATTAAATTTTGTTAGGCAGAAAATTGGAAGATGAAAGGAAGGATAGGAGAGGGAGAGACGTATCTACGTATATGAGGGGAGAGGAGGTCACGTACGTACACATAAGGGGACAACCCAGGAGGTGGTGGGTATGGTGGGAGGTGATAATTAATGGATTGGGCTTTAGGAATTCTTTTTAAATAGATCTAATGGTGAAAAATAATGGGTCCACTATGTTATGTGAAAATTAACGGTTTGGTGTTTTGTTTTTTTCTCAGAATTTCTTGGATTTCCCTAATTTATTAGACCGTCACATGTCGGCTTAGGAGCGTTTATAGGAAGTTTAATAGACTTTTAGTATATAATAGATAGATAGTTTGGTTTGTTGCCCAGATATGCTAGTATTAAAATTTTGGTAGCACCGACAGTACCAGCCAACCATTTGTGTTGTTGCTGAAGCACTGGAGTGGAGTGCAGCCGTTCGTACAATCGGAGGATGACATGAAGGCGGTGTGAAACGACGGTCGAAACACTGTCCCTTTCAGTTACCACAGTTCGCGACGCACACGCGCTGCAAATCCGCCACACGGGCACGACCATCGTCGTTGTGTTCTTCGTCTGCGATTAGTCAGTGCTCGTCCGACGTGGTCACGTGGCTGACAGAGCGAGGCGACTAGCCGAATGTTTTCATCACCCTATCCCTGTGGCTTGTCGACGATGGCAAACATTTTTTTTGTTTGGATTAGTACAAGCTTTCATTTGCTTATTCCAGCGTTTCACCGGGCAACACACTCTATGTGCATATGTTTCGGAGTGCAGCCGTTCGTATTGGTAAATACCATTATTATAGAGAGTTTTGCCCGGTGATTTGTTTGCCTGGCGAAAAAAGGTAGTATAATGTTTTATCTTGAGAGAAAAAGTTGTACTACATGGTAGTAGTATATCTCTCGGCTGCAGATTGACACGAACATTACAACATTGAGTGAAAAAAAAAACCCAACATCTACAGCTACTTCCTCTGCATGAGGTGCGTGTGCAAGGAGAGCTTGATTAACCGCTAAAGTTCACCACAGGGACATGTTCACCAGACACCAAGTTCACCACTCCACAGGGACATGTTCCGCAGGACGAACAGGGTCGCGTGGCGCGTCAGGCAGCGCCGGAGCCGGGGTCGCGGCTGGCGGAGTGGGCGGAGGAGGGGACGACGAGGATGAGGCAGGCGGCGACGACGAGGGCGACGGCGAGCGCCACCGCAACAGTCACCCGCGCGAAGGGATCCACGGCGGGAGCATGAGGCGCAGCCGCCGCGGCGGCGGCGCCTCGAACGACGCGGACGTAGCGCGCGAGAAGCATGTTCCCGAGGACTGGCGCGGTGACGGCGCCCAAGACGAAGACGCAAATGGCGACGTCGTCGACGAGGCTCCGGCCGGAGAGGCCGAGCAGGACGCGGAGCACCTCGGGGCCGCCCACCACGGCGCAGCCGAGGGAGAGAACAATCGCCATCGCAACATCAGAAGCCATGGCGATCAAGAAGAGCACGCACGGAAAAGATCAAAACAAAAATTCGCAAGAATACCAAAAGAGAAAGCAGAGTCCTCTGAAAAGCCTCTCCTCTCTCTCTCTCTCTGCCTTGCTCACCCTGTTCACTGTTACCAGTAGATCAGGCAAGAAGTAGAGAAGAACAGAGGAGGAAGAGGTTGTGCACTGGTGTGTGTTGCTAGGTGTAGCATTTGCTCCGGGTAATATAGGCGATTCGGCACCTGGTTTGGGCATGGTTAGGTGGTGACGCCTCGTTCCAGCCAAGTCGGCACGGCGCGACGGGTCATCTCGGCAGCGAAAGAAAAAGGTGGATTGGAGTGTGGAGGCCATTAAGGACTAATCCGATCTTTGACTGATTTGATGTGCCTGTCCGTGTCACTGTGTTAGATCTCCCTATCCATGTGGTTTTGCCATCATCTTGGCTTAATCCCTATGCTTTCGAATACTTTGTTGGCAAAATTTTGGCATGGAGATATGTTCAGCTATAAGATAATGGTGAGAGTAAAGTTGATCGTAGCAACAAGCTGAATCCGTCGTATAATGCGTATTCTGTCGTTTGTTTTCTTACTCCTCCCTTACTTTGGACGAAAGGCATTACGCCAAGCTTTTACTAAAAAGAATACGAGTTCATTACAGACTAAGAAACAAAAAAACGACAGAAAGTAAAGAAAGGTAGCATGCTGGGGAACACCAGCTAACTCCTCCCCTACTTTGTCTCCCCTAATAACAACAACCAAATCAATATGCCCAGTGCCAAGAGGTTAACTACTTGAGGATAAGACACGGAGAAAAATAACGACAAGGTTGTGGCTTCTCAGCTGAACCCCATCGATTTGTTGACTAGGCTGTGAGATTTTCAGCCGAATTACGTGGGCCAGGTAATAGCTGCCAATATGTTGGTAGAGGCTGATCCTGTGACCCCCAGTACGAACACACACACACACACAAAAAGAAATACACGAGGAGGGCTACGAACTACCAATTCATAGAAGATCGTTTAATCATAACCTGCCCAGCGGTAGAAATGCTTCCGCTGAAAAATCTGAAATCAAAAGGACAAGTTCGGTGGATAAGCCGAAGCATAGCGATGGAGCCCGTAGGGAAAAGGAAGATCTTCCATGATCAGGTGGGAATCTATATTTTTGAAGGCAGCCAATTGCTTTTGGAGCCGTGAGCCGTCGACTAGGAAACTGATGCCTCTGACCTGCACATCCCACATGTGCACGCGCACGATGGGTGTGGTGACGACGAGCAAATGCGACGTTCCCCTCCAACCTGATAAAACCGGGATCTGATGGGCAGGCAGACCCTACATCCGGACAGGAGTAATAGAGTATCCATGCCGGCCATTTTGCCAGTTTGCAGGTATCTGAGCGCGAGCAACAACGGCAATTGAACACACCACATCTGCATTTTTTGCTGCAAATTAACCCAGCTCCTGATCGTGGTCCTAGCAGGTGGCCGTCAGGGAGTGCGGTTGTCCATTGACATGGAAAGCCACCAAGTCGAGGAGACCTTGACGTGTACCGTCGGCGATTTCTCTCGACCCGACTTTTGAAATTCTTCTCCGTAAATTGTGTGATGTAAGGGATGACGCTGGGGTAGCCTTGTGCACTCTCGGACAGTACGTGAGACTTCCTCGTGTACACACAAACATGTCCGCGTTGCTGGCTTGCTGCCTCAACTGTCACGATTCACGAATGCATCAACTTGTGCTCCCCTTTTTTTTGCACACACAAACATTGCACATTGCACTCTTTTTTTGTTCGATTTCATGTTGAGACGGTGACACGGCGACAGCGACCGACCGTCCAATCACATTTTCTCTCTCGGTGTATGGCCACGACTTCTGCCCTTTTTCTTTCGCAGCTGTCGTCATTGACCCGTGATGAGAGCTTTTACCTTTTACAGTGCTCGGGAGGCATCCTGTTATTACACATCAACCGTTGATTTGTTAAAGGGTACTTTAGAGATAGAAAATAACATACAGGGTAGTTTAGTAATTGTCAATTTTTTTTATCAATTATCAACTGAAACTTCTCATGGCCAACTGTTTGTTGCTCGCCCTTGATGATCTATCCATAGCAATCTGCCGTTAGTCCTCTGCAATAAAACGTTGGTAAAATTGTTTGTGCCTTTGGGACGTGGCACAACCCAACGTGTCGAGACCTCGCAGTGCAAACGCCTCCATCGTGCTCCTGGAACGGGAAAGAGGGGGAAGCTCTCTAGGCTAGAACCTGTCCAAAACATATGTGTCTGTATATCATCTCGCAGAAAGCCAGAAACACAGGCGTTAGAGCTTTTGCATAAGCGTGAGAAGACACGAGACACAGAGATGGCTTGCCCAACAACTCTTCTTTTTTTTGTTTACATTTGTTCCTCTCCCTCGATCGGCATGGACGCACGGTGGTTACCTGTTGATACGTCACTATCAAAGTATATCCAAATGCTGAAGCGTACGGAACCAAAGAGAGATCCAACAGAGATAACATTGAACAAACCAAACACGAATACGGGGCGCCTTTTTTCGGATTCGTCAAGAAAAGGAAATCATCCTAGGATGTACTATGGTGTATCACAAGCTCTGTTCGAATTGGTTCGACACATTCAAAATTCAGCTCTGATCTCAGAAGATCAATCGCTTTCGCCAATTAACATCACATAGCTGCGAGATAAACAGTAGAAAACCACACAGGTGATGGAGTAAAAGCTGTAAACTTGTCGAGAGACGAGAGCTGAGCAATCACACACACACTGACAAACACCCACAGGGAAGTGAAGAACAGCCTCGTATCAAGCGCGGGCGAACGTGGCGGAGGGAACGGTGGGGACGGCGAGGAGGCAGGCAGCGACGAGGAGCGCGACGGCGACGGCCACCGTCAGAGTCACCCGCGCGAAGCGCTCCGTGGTTGGGTCAGGGGCATTGCCCGCGACGCGGATGAAGCGGACCAGGAGCATAGCCCCGAGCACGGTGGCGGCCGTGACGGCGCAGATGACGCCGACGATGACGACGACGCCGGCGATGGGGCTGCTCTGCCCGGCGAGGTCCAGCAAGAGGCGGAGCGCCTCCGGGGCGCCCACCATGGCGCAGCCCAGGGAGAGAACAGTGGCCATCGCAAGATCACCTGCCATGGCGATCAACAAGAACAAATCTCTCAAGAACACCAAAAAGACGAGCTCTCGCTGGCAGCAAGAACAAGAAATCCCTTTCTTCTCCCGGTGCTCTCTCTCTAGCTCGCCTTCTCTCCTCTTCGCTATGTGTAGAACAGAGGGGAAGGAAGTGGATGGTCATATAAGCAGCGGATTGGATCGATCACTGATAGGGGAAATTCGGACAAGAAATATTGGGACGGGGACAGATGCTAGTTTGGTCAGAACCTGCGGCGTCCGAGGCGCTGTGACGCTGTCTGCTGACGTCATCGTGGACGAGGACGGAAAGTTCGCCATTTCCTAATGGAATGGAACGTGGAGGGTCAAATGCCAATCGAAAAGATCCGCAGAGCACTTCGGTTGGTTAGTTCGTTACTGTAGTAACGTCGACGGTAGTGCACAGCAAATCAGCAATGTTCAGAACAGTAGAAAGGTAAGTCCATACAGACACTGGTCACTGCTCTGGTACTACACTGTTCATGGTGATGACAGACTAACGTTACACGGCGAGATGGGACGACGCGTCGTACATGTTTCGTTGCCGCTTGCCGCTTGCCACACTGAGAGCGACGCCCGCGTACACGGCGTACCACCTGCAACTGAACAGCCGAATCAAACGACGTGCTATTCCTTAGCATTATTTCCCACATAGCTTCAGTTCGCGTCGTGATGAGTCGTATACTCGTATGGTCGCTATCACCGTGCTTCCATCAGAGCCGAGAAGATCGCTCTCGAATAAGATCGTTGAAAAGGTCAGGCTCTCAGGGCCTATCCCTGTGTTATGTTATCCGATCTTATTATTCAGAGTTCTAACTTAAGGGATGTGGAAGCTTTTCTTCAACATCTCCTCTTTTTTATTTCTCTTTATGCCCTTGCCCACAATGCCACTTGAGCTGAGTGCGAGGCGAGTACGAATCATCATCGTAGTTCCGTTTCTTTCCCTTTGTCATATTTGTGTCAAACCAAAGAAAGTGTCCCTCGGTGTGGTGGAACTGCATGTGATAGATACTCCAGTCACTAATAGTAGATGTACATGTACCCAATGATAGTAAAGTACGAAGATTTCCATTCATCTGTGCTGCCCTTTCCAAAAGGTTCCTTTCCCTAAAAAAAAATGGTTCCCTTCCAAAACGTGGCTGGAGAATGCACAAGCAATTCACGAGTGGTAGTGTATTTCCCTCCGTTATTGAGGCCCTGTTTAGATCCTGTCAAAAATTTTATACCATGTCACATCAAAAATTTAAATATCTGCATGAAGTATTATATATAGACAAAAAAATAACTAATTGTACAGATTGCGACTAATTTGCAAGACGAATCTTTTAAACCTAATTGCTCCATGATTTGACAATGTGATACTACAGTAAACATTTGCTAATAACGGATTAATTAGGCTTAATAAATTTATCTCATAGTTTACTGACGGATTCTGTAATTAGTTTTTTTATTAGTGCCCAAACACCCTATACAACACCCTATATAATATCCAATGTGACACGCCAAAACTTTACACCCCTGGATCTAAACACCTCCCCCCCCCCAATACGAAACGAACACGAACCAAAAAAGCACCACTCTTCCTGATTACACCAAAGATACCTATGTACAAGTGCCACCGTAGGAATAAGTTCACTAGAGATCCCTCAGTTTAATAGCGAGGTTTTTTTAGGACCCTTAACCATAAAATCAGAAAATGTGTACCCCTAAACTCACTCAAAGGAGCTCCCATGACAGTATTGACTTAATTTTTACCCGGTTTTGCTGATGTGGCATCCTAGTCAGCAAAAAATAAAAATAATAAATGTGGGACCCACATGTAAGTGAGGAAAAATATGGGGTTAACAATCCTAGTCAACAGTTTCCTCTTTTTCTTTTTCTCTTCTACTCTTTCGGTTTTATCTTTGCTGCAGATGGGGTGGCAGCGGTGCGCGGCCGGAGGCAGGCGGAGCGGCCGCATCGGCGGGCGAGCGAGGCTGCGGAGTGTCGGCAGCGGCAAGCGGCGGGCGAGCGCGACGGCAGCGGGCGAGTGGCGCCTCTGGGTCGGGAGGTGCAGAGGGGCTTGGGACATGGGGTCATGGGGGGGGCGAGCAGCGGCTCCGGGATCGGGAGGAGCATCAGCTGCGGCAGGCGGCGGCTCCGGGCGCGGGAGGAGTATGTGAAAATGGAATATTCAGATTCATTGATCTAAGTTATGTCCCATACCTATGTTTTTTAGACGAAGAGAGTACTCACTCGGTTAAAAAATAATAATTTTAATTTATTCTTAGAATTGGATTTGTTTTACTAAAAAAAGTACTCCATTCTATGAGGTACCGAGGTGATCCACTAACTTGACGTCGCTGCTGACATGCTGTACAACTAGGTCCCGCCGCCGGCGATATCTTGCGTGAAACCGACCCTTTGGAATTCCGAATTTCTGATCAATCATCCAAAATTTCACGTATCCAAATGTTGTGCGCTTTCGGACTTTGATGTACCACCAGTTCCCGTACGCGAAGAGAGCACCGCTATATAAGCCACTAATCACAGGGTTTGGTACAGCATGTTTCACTTTGAAACGGAAGCAATATAATGTTTCACTTTACACACAACATGGTCATGCTATTCTCCATCGGTATCCCCTTCGCCAATTCGATTGCGATCTCGCTTTGCACACAACTTGCAACAAAGCAAGCAGTGATCGACAAGGGTTGGTCGGTGCACGTCCGACGTGGGCACATTGCTGATGCCTGACGGGGCAAAGTGAACAAGTGGGACGTTTCCGGTCCATGAGGTTACGTGCGGGCATGGTCAATTTGGGAACCCGGTCCAATAGCAAATATATATGTGGTCATTCGCCGTGCTTACTGTTACTGAGGTTTGCCTGTTCAATCTCCTTCGCTCTTCCTGTTGCCTCTTGTCTAATCTATAAACACAGTGACAGAGCTAGAAATTTTCTAAGCCTAAAACTCGAGTAGAGCTCAACTAATAAGATATTAGTTTTCTAAAGAAAAATATATGGTGATTTAAAAGGATTGAGGCATATTTATGGAGGCATGTCTAGGGCTCAAGTCCAAGCTACCCTAGGTTTGTCTCCGCCCCTGTATAAACGTGTAGGGTAGTGTGGTTCACTCAACACCTTTCTCTTTCCAGCATTTCCCCTGTTTTTAGAGATCACAACCAATTTTTATGTGATTATGTACAAAGAGAAACTTAAAAGTATGTTTACTACTTCAATTGGATTCCTGTAGCTGGACTTGGAACGATCGAAATGATTGGCTGATCGCATAGCTCGGTGCCATATTGCAGAACGGAAGACAGAGATGGAGGGCAAGAATGGCACTTTGGCACACGGCACGTGTTGAAGCGAGATAGGTTGCGTTGCAGATTTCAGATGGATTGCCATTGCATCAGTCCCAGGTCCCCAGCCAGGCGCCACAAGACTGACATGTAAAGCGAAGACGCACTAACGCCACTTGTATATACGATCGTCTCCACGCGCGACCTAAACGCAACGACTCTTCGGCACGATCGATCGCGCCCTGCCCTGGACTTTCTCGCGAGCTGCTGCAAACCGTCCTTTTGTGATGGATGTCCCGCACTCTTTGAATTCCCTGGTTGGCTGGTCGTGCCAGTGGGTGATCGTATCCTGCCGTTTGGGCGTCGCGAGCCGCGGATCGTCAGTACCCCGCACCGAAGCTGGCTTTCAGTCGGTCCGAGCAAAGTTGAGTTCAGTCGAGGTAGGACGATGGTGACATTGGTGTCATGGTGTGGATCGATCGATCGACAGCCTCTCCTTTTTCCCGTTGAAACTTGGTAGGAGCACGTCGGAAAATACAGAACTTGGTTGGACTAGTCGTTATTTCCGTCAAATTTGGGCTTGGACTACGGTAGTAGTACGTACAGTCCCAGAGTAAATCTACGTACGTTGTCGATCTCTCAGCTTGCAGGAAGAATGTACTTAGCGCCAGGTGTAGTACTTTTGCTTGCACGCACGAACTACGCACTTTTCACAGCATTTTTCGACCCATCGAGTATTTGGTATTTCGAGTGGCTCGCGAATGGTGTCGCCCGTTCTGGTGGCGTGAATCGACTCGTACGTCTCTGACAATCCGTTCACCCGACTTCTCCCAACTGGAATCGAGAAACTCATCGGGAGATAAATCCAACTGGCCAGTTTTCAGGCGATTACTGGTGCATCTGCATTAGTATATTCTTGATGATCAGGTCAAGGTCAATAGGCAGGGCGGCGCCCGTGGGGTGGGCCAGGGCGGCGCGGTCCCTTTTGTTCTTCGGTGGGGATCGCGGCCACGAAATTTTAGGTCGGGTTGGGTGGAATTTTGGAGGATGCGTCCAGCACGTGTGATTGTGAACTGATCGACGACCGGTCGGTCAGGATGGCAATGGTAAAGTTGGTACCATATACGCGGAGAATTATGAGGATTGAGGAGGGTTCGTTCATCACTGGAATTATAGGAAAAGAAATGCCGAACAATCAGTTTTTGGTAGCACCGATAGTAACAGGATGAACAATCAGTTTCAGGGTTTCTCAAATAGTTTGGTTTATTACCCAGATATGCTAGTGCTACTAAATTTTTGGTAGCACCGATAGTACATGCAGGCATCCATTTGTATTGTTGCTGAGTGCAGCCGTTGGTATAGTCGGAGGATGCCATGATCACAAGTATATACTCCTAGAACATACATTTTTTTTAAAAAAAAAGAATGTCTTTACGAACAAATGAAGTTTATCCGTTTATTCTCCAACGTTATAACTAACTCCCACGATTCTAAGGGGAAAAAAGTATGTCAAATTGTTGAGAGAGCATAAGTAAACTCCGGTGTGAAATGACGGTCGAAGCACTGTCTCTTTCCGCTATCACAGTTCACAGATCATCGCACGTCGCACGCGCAGCATATCCACCACACGGGCACGACCATCGTCGTTGTGTTCTTCGTCTGCGATTAGTCAGTGCTCGTCCGACGTGGTCACGTGGCTGACAGAGCGAGGCGACTAGCCGAATGTTTTCATCACCCTATCCCTAAGGATTGTGAGGATTCGGATCAGGTGCAGTCACTACTGCAACTTTAGCAGTATCCATCATCCAACCATCCAGCACATAAGGGATGGTCTAGATTCGTTGCTTAATTTCCCCCAGCTTT